CTAGGAAACTTTATTGTCATACCTCATAAAATTCCTAAGAATTCTTTTGTACGACAGGATGCTGATTGGTCGATCCTCTTTGTTTCCAGGTCTGCGGGGTCCATAGGAGCAAGATCGGCGCCCAGCACGCCTCTCCAAGTAGCCCCTAGTACACAACAAGCGAGCCAGCAGTCGATTAGCGGTTCTCAGCTCACAGTGGCCGCTGCCAATAACCCTCAGCCTCCAAGGAGCCCGAGCCATACGGCTTTGAGATGTAACGACAGGTGAGTCCTCGACCTTCCTCGTTTGTACGCCTCCTGCGACTATAAAAACTCTCTCTGGCTCCTGTTTCAACTCACGAGAGCCACGAGCAACTTCACTTTTCATGCTGTTACTTGCGGATGTGCCCAAAATGGTGAGTTCGGTAACGTGCAACAGACCGACCAAGTTATATACATAAATTTCGATTTTTCCTTGCTGATTGAATAAGCAGTTGGCTCCGTCTATACTCTGTCCAATTTAAGAATAACCTCGCTCTCGGACCGATTTTCGTCCGTTCTGCGGAGTTCCTGCAGTTAGGCAGAGAGCGTAGCAGAGGGTAAGACGGGGACAAACGTAGGCGGTCAAGTGGGAGTTTGGACGTTCTAGCCCTGCCTTAGGCACGTCCCATGCGCGAAACGAGGTTATTCTTAAATTGGACAGAGTGTAGTCTCGTACGAGCCCTTATTTTTGCAGTTGTTAACCCTTCGACAGTTTATCCCGTGTGAGATTTGGGCAAAGCGTCAAATACTTAACTGTTTAGCTCAAGAGATAGTACTCTCAAGAAGAATGTTAAGGGACGTGATATTATTGTCACAACTATGACGCAGGGTTATGTATACCTTGTTTTAAAAATGACCACGACCGACGTAATTATTAAAAAAATACCTGTGAAATATAATTTTTTTTACCGTAATTCGTAATTTTATTAATTTTATTAGACTGTCACAGGGTTAAATCGGAATTAGAGGCGAATAATAAAAGATAATTGTAAATGGGTTATTTTTCGAACGGTATTTCGCACTTTTGAAACGTACACTGAGCATCCGGTTTATATTGAAGAGTTCCGAGGAACGATACAGCTTATCTCATATCTACTTTCTTATATACGTATTTACTTTGTTATTTGATCACGTTTATTTTAAAGAATGGTTCCACACAATCGTCTACGGTGCCTAAACAGAAGTTTTAATTTTCTTATGCATCAAATGCTGAGTCTGCGACCGATTACGGAGCTCCCACTATTTCTTTTTTTTTTTTTTTAGCGAACTTGTTGGAATTACTTTAATGCTTGTCAACCCTTTCGTGACTGATTTAAATTTTTTACGAATTTCTTACTTATCTACCGATCGTGGTAGATGCAATGGTTACTAAATTGTGCTAAATTTTAGTTGGAGTACATAAAGTGGTCACGAAGGGGTTATGAAACGATAGTAAAAAAAAAAAATATATCGTAGGGTTAGGTATAAAATAAAATTCAAGGTGACTCTGAAAACTGCGAAGGGTATAAGAAATTCAGCGTTATCAGCTTAATGTTTCTAAACTGTGTCAAAATGAATTTCAATCAGTCCGCCAACAATGAAAGTAATAGAGATGGTTATGTTATACGGTTCACCCTATATAGTATCCTCTTACTATATAGTGTATATCCACTCGCTGTGGTGTCTCTGAGATACATATGATATCGTGAATATGACACCAATTATGCGTTTGGGTGAGGATTATGCGGGATTAGTATGTATATAGGTTGAGCTTTGTGTCAATGCAGGAGATGAGTGTTACGCATGAAAATTATTGTGTTTCGCAAATAAGGAAGTTTATACTGTTCTTAATCGTGCCGACAAAAACAGACATTACCCATGCAAATATTGGGTAATTTGTTAATGAAAATAATCAGTGAATTTTTTTTAACAGTTCACAAGACGTAATTCGGATATTTATAAAAGCGTGATATTAAATTTGTGATCGAAATGTGAATCGAAGGGAAAGAAGTCAATATACCTTAACTGGGATTAGAATTGACAGGGTTTCGACATCAGATTTGTCATCCGTTGGACAACCTCTGCAACACAATTAATCATTTCCAATTATCCACTTAACCTTTCTGCTTTCTATCATTTTTAAACGTAAATATTTCTTGGAGTATTAAATATTATCCTCGATCAAAATTTTGCACATACAAATGAAAATAATAAAAAAATAATTTGTCCCTGATTCAACTAATGTGTTTTTATTAAACAAATTAAAAAATAAAAATTTCTGCATCTTAATCTATCGGGTAATGCATAAAAATAAATAGTTCACTGTTTTCTTTTTCTCTTCTTTTTACTAAAAATCGAAAATGACAAAAATTACGCGAATACAGTTTTTCTCCCTATTTCCTCCCTTAATCTCTTTAACCCACGTGGGGGCAAACGGTCGGCCTTGACGAACGGGGTTAGGGTAATTATCCGGGCTGACCATTTGTGGACCACGGTTTGTAATATGCTGTTGCATAACGCGGTGGACGAGTTAGCATGGTTGGAGATTGTTTCCGAAAGTCATCAAGTAGAGTTGATCCTCTTTCCGTAGTGGTGCACTGGAGACCTATCGACGATAAATTAGCACTCTGTGTTCGTTTAATGCGGCGCATACTAGCTACTAATGAGATTTAATACCGAGTATAAAGTCCGATGATCTTTACTACACGGTGGAGCAGTAAGGATGGCGCGTATCGTTAAAATTATTCGAATAAAGGAAGCATTTATTTCAGTGCAGAAAATTTCTTGTACTTCCTTAACAGCCTTTTAACATTAGAACTACCGACCGGGTCAAAATGACCCATTAGCATCTTTCGAAGAAACGTGAACGTTCAATACTGGTCAGTATTATCGTTTGTAACTTTCCGAATTTATTTTCTACATATACGCTTCTATTTGAATGGATATGAATCGAATTTTCCAATCACGGTTCAGTTACATAAAAATTCATTTTTGAAAAGTCACTAATGGGTCATTTTAGCTCGGCTGGTAGTTCTAGTGTTAATAGCCTTCTTGATAATTATATCTCGGTAGATGTTTAATTTTTGTTTTTTTTTTTAATAATTATATCTACACAATAGGGACAAAATTTCAAAAAATATTAACAATAATCCAGACCTAAAGTTATAAATACTGTATAATTATTTTAGAATGGTAGTAAACATTCAGAACGAAAGTTCGATTTATGGTCGTCTGAGTATTATTTAGAAAATTCTTCTACGCTTCGTAGTTTCTCAAGGCGAGTTTCTACAGGTAACGAAACATTTCGTAGATATTTGAAAACCAATCTGTTGCCTCGCAAGAAATCGCGACAGACCCTCGGATTATCGTCATAAACTTGTTCAATTGCACTTGGCCGCCAGACCGAGGTACCGGTCCTCTCGCTCGTACCGTACCCCCCGTGGAGAGGTCACGAGCGCGGTGGAAAGTCACGCGGCAACCCCTGGGAAAAACCCAAAAATGGGGGTTTTCTAATGTTAAGCAACATTCCTCTTCCCTTGGAAAGAGCTGCGTCCCACCTAAACAACCTCCTCCACTGAGGAGTCAGCACCTACACCCCCCAGAAGAAATCGGCCACCAATCAGCAACTGGCCGATAAAACTAAGGAAACGAGGCAGAAGCGCGTCCTTTTTTAGAAGTCTTGGCAGTTGGTCTTACGAAAATTAGTATTTTGATGGTCTCGTGGCGACATCGCCTCAAGTATCACTCTGTTGCAAATAAAACTAGTTCTTAGCATTTCACACTGAATAAATCAAGGTGTGATTAAAACTCGCGTGTCGGTTCGGCAATTAAGCATCGAACATTACGCGACCCGAACACAATCAAAACACGTAATTAATAACGTTCTGCTTGTGAAAGCATGTTTCAATTGTTCCAATCAGTCCTCTACAGGAAGAAAGTAATTTTTTCCAGTTTCCATAAGTTTCGATCGTTGTACCGCGTTGCAAACAAGGATAAGAACGGTAGTTCGCTATCTGCATTCCTTAATTATCCTGTACGTTCGTTTTTTTTTTTTATCAAATGTCCTATTGTAACAAAGGTACAGAGTGAAAAAAAATTATGAAACAATACACATTAACACGAACTATTCCATTTTTTACATAAACATTCCTAAAAACTATGACTCGCGGGTGATAACGTATCGCGAGATATCGCGACACCTGTTCACACAAGAACGAAGTGCGGAAAACAAAATTACGCTGTTCCGTTCACACCTGCGCGATAAAAATTTAGAAGGAGAAATCGATATTATAGCAGTCGGTTCTTTTCTAAGAAAGCATTTCTCCGTTTGAACAGGTGCCACGGCCAAGGGGCAACACGCCTAATCCTGAAGATCCCAAGAACACTATTGTCTTTGTGATTTTTTTCTAACAAAAATAGATACGCGGCTTAACAGCGAATGATTTGCAGCACGAGAAGGAGTACATACTTAGGTCGAAAAATCTGATAAATTCAGGTAGCTATCTTTATAAAACGTATCCGTTAATGCTGAAGGGAGAGAAAGAAGGTGTTGTCTGAGGTAGATGAATAAATTTAGCGTTCGATTTTTCAAAAAAAAGTATCGTACATGTTAAATTTCATGCAAATTGATCCAGTAGTTTTTGCTATACACCCTTTTTTGGGGAAATTGTTCGGAGGAAAGCAAGTTGGAAGTTTCAAGCACAGTATGCACGTATAAAAAGAAATTTCTGAAAGATCTGTCCAATTTCTGTAAAATCTATTCGTTAAATTTATTTATTACAAATTTTCTAGGGAGATCATTTTTGAAAGATCGATTTTTTTACTCTAAACAGGTACTAATAGTTTCCATTTTTTTAACTAACACTTAATTTCTGTACAAATATCTGTTCACCTTTATCGATGCTGTTTGAATCGTCTTCCACGTGACAACACCTTCCGAAACGGAAATTTTTTCGAATTTGCCGTATCGGTTACCGAGAAAATGACGGAGTTTACAAAGCGGATTTGAATGTATTCCAAGATGTAATACCACTTATCCGATAATCTCCGAATTTAGTAGCCTGAAAAAGGCATTCGCTGTCGCGTATCTCGATACTCACCTGTCGGTTAGCACTTGTCGATCATGTGAAACCGAATTGAAAACCATATTCAACGTCTACAAACTACGATCGTTATCTTCCGATTATGTAATAGAGCGAGTGATACCCACGTTTTTTCATACGTATTTAATTAGCAATACTTGCAAGTTCAAGGGGTTTCATTAAAACGCTTTACATGTGATAAGAGATGAACAAGATTGGAAGACAGATTATCTCTCACTTTTCAACTTTTTTCAATCAGATCTTTTGAAGAAATAACCGATCAACATTTTCATTGATTTCCGATTACATATCGGAGAGATTCACGTACTCAACGAGTCTCAGAAAATCTAAAATTCCGAAGTGAGTCTTAACGAAAAAAAGATGGTTATCTCTAGATTTACTTTGTTATACTTAATCAAGTCATTTCGTACAATCGTTATCATTTTTTGCAGGTGTTTAAGCTTTACTCGTACACTGCGGTTCATAAGTATTAGGACAATTCTTATGTTCGTGCAGAAAGTATACTTTAAATTACATTTCTTTCCGTGTATTTGTTATAGGTATTACGAGATTTCAGGCTGGATATTTTTTTTCTCGATCTTAATAATTTTGTAAGTCAAATGACTTTATATTAAACTTGTAATAATAAAGAGACTTGCTTCACATTCAGTAAGTGGAATTTAGTAGATTTCGATAGATTTTAGTAGAACTCAGTAGTTTCAAAAAATTTCAATAGTTTTAAAAGTAAGATATTTAGAAATATCTTGCTTTACATTCAGCAAGTGTCCCAATCCTTACAAACAGTAATGTACATAGCCAATGTAGCAGTGAATGTACCAAGAAAGCTAAAACGAAACCAGCTACTCGATCCAACACCGAACGAAGAATGAAACAGAAAATATCCCTCATTATCGAACGATCATTAGCCGAACAATTAGCATAGATGAGTTATTTTTGTCTTCGATGTGTTCCACGAGTCTCTTTAACTCTTCGACTCCTAAAGGCGTATGTACACGCTCTTTCGTATTCACCAATATGCACAAAAACCGTATACGTACGACCAATAAAATTTGTTTACGACAATACATTTGCTGTTTTACTAAACTGGTGTAACAGTAGTCCTCTGGTTAGACGACGCATATCACCCGTATCCAAATAAACATCGATAACAATTTCGATATTGCCGTGTGTACTTACGATGTAATTTTCGACATACGTGCAAACGTAGCGCGTTATAATCCGATGGTTCTGTGTTGGAGCAGTCGTGAAAGGGTTAGAAAGAGAGAACACCGCGTTTGTTTCAGTCACGATCATTTTCCATCACTCGTCGGCGCAATGAAAACACGCGGCCGTCGTTGTGGTAGTATTCTTCGGACAGCTTATCGCGTCATTTTTTTCGGACGACAGAGTTTTTCTTCAACTGAGCGCGAGGAAGAAAATCGAGATATTACGCCAGATATTATCAATATCGCGACAGAGGAGTCGATAGCACGATACTGCCCGTATATTCCGCCAGTTGTATACCGAACGATACGCGGCTCGTTTGTCGAATACGATCGATACTTCTTAGCCGTGTGATCGCCATTGAAATTCTTCCGACGTTTCGAGCAGTATATTTCGCGTAAAATTGATTACCAGCAATCGAAGACTCGCCGCGGAGGAGTAAACGTTCCAATTAAAGAAACGTGAAAAGTGTTTCCGCACGGTTCTGTTGATCTAAAATAATTATCCACAGTCGTCGATCGCCGTTTATTGGATTGCTTGTGATTTTCAAACGGGAAGATACTTTCTTCGAATTTCTCTCAGCCAGGCAAGATTTGTTCTTCGAGAGGACTTGAAAGTGGATGCAGCGATGTCTATTCGAGAAGATATCATTTTTTGCTTCGTGTACAGTTAAAGCAGTGACTGTTTTTTTTTTTTTTTTTTTTTTTGGGGGGGAA